TAATGATCTATTCAATTAGCATACTTTAGCAAAATGTCCTTATTTTTGACATTTGTAGCAAATATTATCTTGAGCAGGACAAGCATTCCGGGTGGCAATTGTTTCCACAGAAGTTTTTCACAGTTTAGTGGTTGGCAGTGAGGTTTGTTAGTTATCCTTATATTTTCTTGTATTACATGTTGCATTAATTTGAATTATGTTGACCAAGTTCTTGCTTCTTAGAGTACAAACTCTAAGGAGCATACTTGGTCAAAAGCCAATGTTAGTAAGGTGATCTTGTTTTCTAGTAGTATCTGACATATCATACTTGAGTTTAAACAAGTAATAAATGCATCTCTGATAGATTCATTGCAGTAAATATCACCTATTACTGCTTTATAGTTGCAATCTCTCGTTAGGTTTTGGAGAGTTCGTCTAGTGTTTTGCTGGTTTATTGTATGCGTGTTGCTAATTGATGTCACATGAATGTTTAGTTTTTTGATTTAACCTACAAGGACATAAGAACTTCAATCGCATTTTCAAAAGTTATTGCATTGGATATGTATTCATAAACGTATTCATAAAAGTTATTGGATTGGATATGTATTCATAAACAGTCGGTTTATGAATACATATCCAATCCAATTTCTCAGTGATATGAAGTATTCTCAGCTCCTCTTTAGATGTAGAGTCTGAAGATAAAAAAAAGTTATTTAGAATTTCAAACCAGTGAATCCATTCTTTGCTTGGTGTTGAAGAATTTGCATTTGTGTCAAATCTTTTATGTTGTAAATATTTCTTCATAATAATAATTTTAAATTTAAACCTGAACTTTTTTTTTCTTTTTTTTTTAAAGAAATACAATTAATTGAAAAAACACAAATAATTGAAATAATAACTATTAAGGTTTTATCTATCATGTCACTAAATCAATACAATAGAAATTTTAAAATAATAATTAATAACGCAAAAAAGAGAGATATTAATTCATAATAAGTTCATCACGTTTATAAATGATTTATAATAGTATTAATTATAAATAATTATCACTGGTTTGTTATTTAATTATATCCAAAAATGTAAACTTATTAAATATCTTTTATAAAGTTGTAAAGTTTTTTGTTTAATTTTTAATATTAATAAAAATCATTATTAGGCATTTTTTTATTTTATTTACAGTTGCAAAACAGTGTTGTTAAAACACTGCAATGCAGTTGCAATACAGTTGCAATAAATCTAAATAAAAAGTTAAACATAAAGATTAATTTAGACATAAGATGAGGTTATTTTTGTGCTATTTCTTAAAAAATCTCCATATTTTTTTTCTTTTTTTCTTTTTTCTTTTTTAGCCAAATTTGTTAAAACAATTTTTCTTAATTCTTAAAACATTAAAATAAAATTTATTTTCATAATTAATATTTTTTTATTAATAAAATAATTTATGAGTTTATGTGTTGTTTTGGGACTTGAATGACGATGATAAATGCTTGTACAAAAATACTTTCAATCATTTATCGTTATGTCAATAATAATGTCATTAAAGTCAATAATGATATCATAAATAAAATATTAATTCCAATAATAAAATTTATTTTGCATTTTTTTGTCTCATCTTAACTGTTATTATCAAGTTTAAATTAAAGTCGACAACAATCATATTAACAAACATTTTTCATTTAATTGTTTAAACAATTAACACAATTATGATACACTATTATAAGTCTATAGTTTGCTTATGAGACACTATTATATGTCTATAGTTTGCTTAAATATTTTCAATTTTTTCAAAGAGTTTTCTTGATTTATATTTAAATATGTAATTATTATTTAGTAAATTTGTTCTACAGGGTTATTTATTCTTATATGCGCGTCTATTCATTTTTATATGCGCCTTTATTCATTCTTATATGCGCCTTTATTCATTCTTATATGCGCATTTATTCATTTTTATATGCGCATTTATTCATTCTTATATGCGTTTTACAAAAGCAATTGTAAAAAAGCAATTTAAACAAAAAAAAAATCATTTAAGTAATTTGTTTTGAAAAAACAGTTTATTTTTTTAAATTTTTCTTATTTCCTGGTAAACGAGGTTAAAAATACTTAAAACGAAGACTTTTTACATTCGATGATTGTTTATTTAATTTAGTATTAGTTCTTTGTTTTCGAATGATAGTTTATTGAATTTAGTATTAGTTCTTTGTAATTTTATTATTAATTTTCTTGATTAATTAAGTTATTATTTATCTAATTATGCATTTATCTAGATTTAAATTTAATTATTTATAATTATTATTAATATCAAATTATACATCCCTATGGATGGAATAGAAAATAGCAGTATCAATCATAAAACAAGGAAAAATATTACAAAAGAGCATATTGAAATGCTTAAGCGTTTAATTGAAAGAAATCAATCTACAACAAGCATTTCCACTTCTCTTAATTTATCGAACACACAGTTCAAAATCTTGTCGTTAAGTTAAACAGGATAATTCAACGACATGACTGCATTCAAGTCGTTTTCTGATAAAAAACGAGGTAAAAGACCTATAAACTCTCAAATAAAAAGTATTATCGAATTATGCATACAAGAAAACAATCTTTGCACGCAAGAAGCAATAAAAAAAATCATTCTGCAGCAGGCTTCAACATGTCTCAGTCTACTATTTCAAGAAAACTCAAACACTCGGATTTATCAAAAAAACGTGTTGTGCATGTGCCAGAAGAACGAAACTCAACACAAGTTATTAATGCACGCTATGCATTTGCAAGCGAAATAAATGCAATTTCAGATGAAAAACTTATTCATTTGGATGAAACTGAATTTAATGTGCACATATGGTTATTTGCTAAGAGATACGCCAGCAATTTTACAGTCACCTACAAATCATGGTAAGAATGTTAGTTTAATTTGTGCTGTTTCAACAATGGGAGTGCTTGCTTATGAAACAAAAACTGGAGGCTGGAATGCAGATTCATTTGTACTTTCATAACTTCAATGATAGCACCAGCAATTAGAAATGCAAATGTGGAAGCGCCGGTGCTTGTTATGGACAATTGTAAATTCCACCAGAGTCTTTCTGTTAGGCAAACACTAGTCTCTCATGGTATAGCTTTTAAGTATCTGCCAGCATACACGCCGCAGCTTAATCCAATAGAATAATTTTTTTCTTCTTTAAAACATACTTACAAACAGGGAGAAAGGCCTCGAAATATGGATTGGGTAATCAGGAAACTTAAAAATATTATGGATACTACAGAGTTTAATTTAATTTCATTTTATGCGTAGTTACATAAATCCAGCGCTGGCTTGGCAACCATTTCTGAAATAAGTAACAATCAAAACAACCTAATTTATATTTTAAGTATATCTATATAAAAATTTAAAAGCGTACCGTAAAACGGGGTTACTTTAAACATTTTTGAGATATTTTTACTTGCTCCTTCCTTCACTATTGACAATATTTGAAATTTAACAAAATGAATATAGGGGCTAAGATTGACTCTTACATAATTCAAATTCAAAATAATATTGAAATAAAAGGATTTTGTATAATATTAATTTAAATAGTCATTCAAAGTTACCCCACAAATGGGGTATTTTTGAATGCGTTTTTTGTAAAAGCAAAACCTATTCAAAAACGCCTTGTTTTGTTTTAAAATTTAATAAAAACAGCAGTCTAGTTTCACAGTAATTTATTATTGCTAAAATAATATAATATTATTTCATAACAAACACCCATTTAGTATTTTATTTTATTTAAATGGGTATTTTTTAAGCATAAAAAAGTCTCATTTACATCAGTTTCACTTACAGACTATGCAAGTGGAACATCTTTACATTTTGCCAAAAAATACTTAAAAGAAATATGTTTAACAAGGTCAAAAGTAATTTTTTTCCCTTAGAGTCTGCTTTTTCCTAGACATCAACATAAAAAAAATTTTAAGCTACATTAATTACTGCTCAGCGTACTAAAGTTACAACTATCTTGTCAACAATTGAAGATGATACTTATATCTAATGGGTAAATCCCATATATATATATATATATATATATATATATATATATATATATATATATATATATATATATATATATATATATATATATATATATATATATATATATATATATATATATATATATATATATATATATACACATACATATACAAACACTCACACACATATGCATAAATATATATATAAATTCAATGTATACACACATATACACATTTACACATAAAGACAAACACACACACAAACTGTGTGTATGTGTGACTTACTGTTTATGCACATAATATTTAAATTTTTAATCACAATAATATTATGTACAATGCTTAATATATTATAAATAATACATGTGTTACAAAGGAAATTTTAAAATTGTTTCATGTTTCTGACTATTTATGTAGTGGAGTTACTTTGAACGTTATTCAAATTTACCCTGTATGCAAAAAAATGTATACAACAAAGCATGTAATGCTATAGCAATGGAACATAACTATAGTAAGCAAACAAACTTCTTTAGATTTTACATGCTTAATAAATTTATAAACAAAAATTATGCAACTTAGACAACAAGCTGCTACACTAGCTGAGGCAGTGTACAAAGTATTCTGACTAATTATTTTGAGAAAATTAACCGAATTATTTAATTCATTTTTTGGGGAACAATAACAATCAATAAACAAAGTAAAACTTTAAATAATCAAAATATAAACTAATTTTAACACTTTGATGTTTAAGATTCAAACAGTTTCATATAAATTTTTGCCATAATTACAACTTTAAAAAAAAAAAGATTTGTATTCAAATTTACCCCGCTATTTAAAGTAAATAAGAATGAATAACCGTGTAACTTTTATAATTTTTTAATAATATCAAACTTGAAAGATTTTATGCTAAGCATAAAATCTTTCAATATTTTAGTAGAAAATTTGTGTTGATCTGTTTAAATGTTTTATTTACCAGATTTAACTATAATTTAGACGAACCTGAATTTTAATAAATTTAGGTGAAGCTGATGAGAAAAAAGATGATGAAATGAATATACCAGTAATATCAGAGGAGAGAAAAAAAGGTCAACAATTTAATATTAAAAATATAATAATAATGCAATTTAATACTAGTTTATTTTTTTGTGTATTTTATACTTTTTTTTTTAATTTTACAGGTTTCAAAAGCAAAACAGTTATAAACAGCAAGTATAATGCTTTAAAATAAAAAAAAATTATTTTTCTCTTGAAACACTCTGTAACGTAATGTTTTTTATTGGTATTATATTAAGATTATTGTTAATGATGCAAAACTTTCTGAGAATCTACTTTGTTAGGAACTTTGGTGCTTGGGAAAAGTATACTACTGGCTTTGGAAGTAAAATGCTTGAAAAAGTAAAATCTTAAATTTTGATTAAAATAATTGCTTTTATTTTGTATTGTAATTTATTTACAATTTTTATAATTTTTAGATGGGTTATAAAGGCAAAGGTCTTGGAAAACATGGAGAGGTTAGATGATTCAAACTCTTTTGATGTCATTCATTAGTTATAAAAAGTTTGAATTGCTTAACATTTTTAAAATTATTTATTAAAGGGTATAACTGAACCTATTGAAGCATTTAAAAGAGGCGGAAGAGCTGCAATTGGTGCTTATGGTTCTGAAACCAAAAAATCAAGAGAGGTATTCATCATTAGTATAAAATGTTATACATACATGCATACATACATACATACATACATACATACATACATACATACATACATACATACATACATACATACATACATACATACATACATACATACATACATACATACATACATACAAACATACATACATACATACATACATACATACATACATACATACATACATACATACATACATACATGCATGCATGCATGCATGCATGCATCAAACATTTGAAGGCAATATTGCTTCTTGTTCCTTTGGCAAACAGAAACTGCTTTTGCAACTTGGCTGTTGTTTTAAATTTAAATAACAGTAAACTTAGTCTGCTTTCAAAGTTTCATGTATTTTTGTATTTCTAGAAAAAGTAAATCTTCTATGGTGATTTAATTTCTCTAGTGTACTTTGATTCCTTCAGGCTGATTTGATAATATCATCATTCATGGAAATAAGTAATAACTTTTTCTAAGGGTTTTTAAATTTTTAACAAATTTACTTGAGATATCTTTGTTTTTCTCTATCATCATTGTAGCTGGGTCAGGATTATCTGGTTAAGCATTCTTAGCTTCTTTTCATCAGAAAGCTTAATAGCAAAAATATTAGAAGTTTTATGTTAGTATTAAACATTTAAAAAAAGAATTTTTATATTGTTAAATGGAAGCGTTGTGGTGTATTTAAAAAATATAGTTTAATATAAATGAGATAAAGATAATGAAAATATTTTATATAAATAAATATGTTATATAAATAAAAACAATACTTTAAATTTTAAATGGATTTTAGTTATGTGTAGATCAATTTTATTTATCTTATGTTCATGAAAAGTTTGTTTTATCTATTTGTAGGGCTCAATTTAACAGTCAGACATTGTTGCCCCCAGACTGTTTTTGAGGTCTGATTTATGGGGGTAACCAACCATTGTTCATTTTTACTGAAAATATTAACAATGGTTTGTTGTCCTCCTCTAGCAGGTCTCAAGAATGGTCCGAGGGGCAGCGATGTCTGACAGTTAAATTATGCCCTCATTTGTATTACAGATCCAGGAGCTCATTCTGGTTATACTGCTAACTCTATACTTTTTTCACCTCTTTACAACTTACTTTACGATTTTTTCCTTGTTTTTGCTAGTGTTTGTTTTGTTCATGTTGAAGTAGCCAGAAAGTTTACATCAAAATTTACCTCAGTGCTTTCTACAGATTGAAAAGACTCTTTGTTTGTACCTGAGTTAAAAAAATTAGTTAATTGATATTGTTCTTGTATTGTGATTTACAATTAAATTTTTGAAATACTCTTTTTTTTTTTTTGAATTTGTTGGTTTGAATTAATCTTGTTTTTGCAGGCTTGGTCGGGAAGCGGGAGCGATCGCTCTCGATTGCTGACCACGTAAATAATATTTAGTTGCGAAAAGCTGGCCAGATTTTTTGGTCGTTTTGAGAACATTTCAGAAAACAAAAAAAAGAAGCGCTAAAAATTAATTGGACCGATGAGAGACAATTACAAAAAAAAAAAAAAAAATTGGTAAATAAAATATCTTTAAACGCAAAAAAACCTAAAGCTAAATAAATTACGTTTAAAACAAATATGTTTAAAACATCGCTCTTTTTTAATTTTTTTTATAAAATTAAGCGATTTTTTATATATAAAGTAACAACTTACGATTGTTTAAAAAGAAACTAAATATTCTTTATTTAACAAAGTTTGCAAGTTTTAGTTTTACTTGAGCTAAATTATTTTATAAATAATAAAGTTAATTTTTTCAATACCTATTTTATGTTTCGCGTAGTTTGAAAAGCTTAACATATTTGAAGCAATTCTTCTTAGTAAGATAAACAATTAAATCATAGAAATTAAATTAACAATATAAAAATCAACTTAAGGTTAACAATACTTTATGACGAGGAAGCGAAATTGCTTCACAATATCGCTGGTGATGTTTAGTGAGTGGGCTTTTTAGTTTTAATTGGTATTTAAAGCAGAAAAAAGTATAACGAGTTTTTAGAATGGCAACTTAAGCAAAAATAATTGGAGCTAGTAAACCAATATCTAGTAACTTTTCTTTATATCTAATTATTTGCTATATATATTTGTGTTCTGTCGTGACCTTAGGCGCGGTGCTTGTTCATTTGCGAGTTAATTTGTGCGCGTTGTTTGTGTTTAGTAACTAGAAACTTCTTATATGTTTGTTACGTAATTAGTTTTATTAACTATAACGATTATAACTTCATTGAAAACGCAATTATTTGTGTAAGTCTTTGTTTAAATCGTAAAAATTGCTTTAAAAGATACATTACATTAAAAAACAGATAAACAAAATTAAATTTACATAAAGAATACATATTTTTTAAATAAAAAATAAGAATATACTAATAAAATCTATAATTTATAATAAACTTTTAAGATTTTGACAATTTAATATATATTTAAAACTTTTATTTTTGTAAACAAATAATATATTTATTCTTAAAACAATTTATGCTATAAATCTCGAAACGTTCTAAAACATTTTTTAAAACATTTCAACAGAATACTCTAGAACTTTATTTCGCTAAGTCAACATATTTTTTGAACCAATATAATTAGTTTCTTCGTTGAATTGGCGGGTTTTTAGTGTTCGCGAATATTCTTTTTATTCTTTCGCACAAAGATGTTTTGGGAACATTCAAGTTTATTATGTTTCCATGTATGTCCGTAAAACAAAAAATTTTTGTTTTGTACATAAATTTAAATGTTCTCAAAATGACTAAAAAAACCTGGCCAGTTTTTCGCAACTAAATTTAATTTCCGTGGTCAGTATACGAGAGCGATCGCTCCCGCTTCCCGACCAAGCCTGTTTTTGTGAAATTTTTAAAATTCTTTAGGGCTCTAATTCTTTGTACTATTTCTTCTACATTTAAAAGAAATAATTTTTCAAGATTAATGCCCAAAATAGTTTTTTTAAATGCTAATAAAAAATTTCAATAAAATGTATTTACAAATTTTTTGCTATTGTTGAAAAAAATTGAATCACCCTTCAGCACAACACTTATAATGAGTGTTCTCTCAAAAATAGAATATAGCATTTAAAAACAAGTATAAATATGTTTGTTTATTTAAATTAAATCTTATTTTGTAATTTATTATTGTTAATCAATTATTTTCTAGTAATCTTTTCAGATGAACTGTGTTCAATCTTCTTTTGGTCAAGCTCAGAAAATGCTGCACTACCTCGATGGACAAGCTCTGCTGCACCTCCTCTGGATTATTATTATTTTTAATCAATATTTGATTCTTCCAATTAATTTTTAAACATTTTCAAATTCCCATTTTTTATTGTAGACTGAACCTTTAAAAAAAAAAGAAATCTTTGAATAACGCTTTTATCAGGATATTTAGTAGGATTATCTTTCTTAAGAACATAATTGATACTTTCACTGTCCAACAAAGCAATGATGATTTAGGCACAATAGGCTGAAGTTAAATCATAATTATGCCAACAAAAATAATTACAGTATTGGATAAAACATTTGGAACCAACATCAAACAATGATAAAAAGTGTTCCTAATTTTACATGTCTTAAAAACGAAACGAACTATACTACCACAGCAAACAGTTCAGGAGTCTGGAGTCATAGCATGCCATGACATGAGCAATCAGCTGACAGGTGACAGCACACAGGCAGAATTTTGTTGACAAGAGCCATTTTGCAGCGGACAAAACAAGTGCAACTTTTTTGGTTTGTTTCATTTTCTTAAGTCTGGTCCGTGTCAACGTCACGTAAGTTTTTTAATAATTAAAGGAAGTATCCAGAAGTTTCCAGAAGCATGCAGAAGCTTCCAGAAGTTTCCAGAAGAAGCATCTGGAAGCATCCAGAAGTATCCAAAAACATTCAGAAGCATCCAGATGCATCCAGAAGCATCAAAAAGAAGCATCTAGAATCTTCCACAGGTTCACACAGGTTCATTTACTATATAAGAGACATGTAAATTGACATGTAATTCAGTCAGTATATGGTCAGTATTATCAAGACAGTTTATCGAAGTGAGTTTTATCAAAGTGTTTTATCAAAGAACATCAATACAAGAAGTGAAATACAACAAGTGTTTCATTACATCAATACAGTCCATATCCAACCAAGACGTTGTGTTCCACAGAGCATTATTGTATCATCACAAGGTAAATGTAACACGGTAAGCCTTGAGAAACGTGATTATTTGTTTTTATTATTTTTATGACTTCAAGGGCGAAAATGGCTCCCGACAGTCTTGGATTGAAACTAAGAAAGAAAATTATTGGCGATTACATAAGTTGAATGTCACGAAAAAATGGACCGTATCAAGACTGTTCCAAATATCGTTTTATGGGGAAGTTGGCAGCAGATAACAAAGGTGGAAAACCACGTTCTACCACTTCTAGAGAGGATTCTATGATCGTCAGATCCGTCAAGAAGGATCCTTGGATATCATCAGTCAAGATACAAAAGCAATTAGAGCTGCCTGTATTAGACCAAACAATCAGACGACGTGCTGTTGAAACTGGATTGTTTTCTTGACGCCCTGCAAAGAAACCGCTGATTTCACTAAAGAACCAGAAGAAAAGACTCCTGTTTGCTATATCTCATATTGACTGGAATGTGCAGAAATGGCGAACTGTCCTGTTCAGTGATGAATCGAAGTTCAACATCATTGGGAACGATGGCAATTTGCTGTGTACATTGACCGGCTGGAAAACGCCTCGATTTACGTTACTGCCATAAGACCGTGAAGCATGGTGGAGGCAATGTGATGGTCTGGGGATGTCTTTTTGCTAAGGGTCTAGGTCCAATACATCGAAACGATGAAATAATGGACCGTTTCATGTATAAAAATATCCTGAAAGATGTTATGTTACCTCATACTGAATGGAATATGCCAATAAAATGGGTTTTTCAGCAAGACAACGATCCGAAACACGCTGCAAAAGTAGTGAAGCAGTGGTTTCAAGACAACTACCTATTGGTGATGGATTGGCTGCC